GCTTAAGGACCAAATGACCCTGAAAAGTAGGGATTCTACTATGAATCCCGATAAGGAATATGAACCCTAAACCCTTTTAAGGGTTCTTTTCGTCCTCAAGGTACAGAGATGAGGGTCCCTTTTGGGGTGCCCTAAATATCAGGTGCCGTCTTATATTAAGGACACTAAAAGGGGCCCTAAACCCTAAACCCCTAAGGGCCCCTAAACCCCTAAGGGCCCCTAAACCCTAAACCCTACACCCTAAACCCTAATTCTGAAACCACCCCAATAGCTCCTTACGGACCAGCTGCAGAGGGTCAGACCTCCGCCTGCAGGACCCAGAGACTCCAATATCAATCCTTAGTTAAGGAATATACCTTATATTATAGTAGGATCCCTAATATGATTTAAGGTATACCTTAAATTATAGTAGGATCCCTAGTCTGATTTAAGGTATATATACTCCTCAAAAGTAGGATCCCTAATATGATTTAAGGTATACTCCTTAATGAAGGGTTATTGGAGTCTCTGGGGACTTCAACGGTTTACGAATCAAGGCGTGAGGTTGGGAAACCTGAGGTACGAGGCCCTATGTATAATGTAGTACTAAAGTAGAGTCTAGTATGGCTAAGTGTAGTATAGTACCAGTATATAACAGTAAGTATATCGTATATAGTATGCAGTAGTATACAGTGTAGATTAGTGTAGCATAGTATAGCATAGTCCAGCATAGTACAACTGTTGATGATACAAATCCTGCATTACCTTAAGGAACCTAAAGTATGGGAAGTATGGTATATTCCTTATTGTGGGTAATGCAGGATTTATCTCATCAACCGAAGTATGGTAATCCGGAGATCGCCATCTCAGTCCGGAAATCCCGGAAGAAACCTACCTAGACCTTCCAAAACTCACACTTAGGTAAGGAATGTATTTTGACTCATGTTAGGGATCCTGAATCCTGTTAGGGATGCTACGATAATTTCATGCATCTTATATTTTATTGAAGTCTCTGGGTAGTTAAAGCCTCCCCTCCCGAACTTACATAAGTGCTGTGTGTTGGGGTTTACCTCAACTTACCAAAACCTGCTTTTTGTGGTAGGGTCCCTATACATGCCATATTCGGTTCTATCAGAGGAACCTACAAAAAAAAGGCTGTGGTAGCTTAAAGTAGGGTTTTGGCTGACATCGTCGTCCTGCTGGCATAAGTCAAGGGTTTCGGGCTTCGGGTTTCAAGGTTTTGGCATTAATATAACTAACTGCTGGCTCCGAGAGCGACGGAAGACCGACAAGACCTGGGTTTTGCCCGGAAACACCCTTGAAACGCATGATTCAATCCAACACCTTCCGGTGCCTTTGACCACCGAAGGGCGTCCCGAGGAGCCGAAGGCAATCCCACAATGCCGACTGGGCCATGGATCTTTGGGTTTGGGACTTTGTGCCGCCAAACAACCCAGCGACTCCAATATCCCTTCATTAAGGAATATACCACCTTAAATCACATAAGGGATCCCACTATAATTTAGGGTATATTCCTTAATTAAGGGATATTGGAGTCTCTGGGAATAGGCCCAACTTAAGCTGACCCCGGGCTTCAAACCCGAAGCACTTTAGACGTTAGACTCCTGATGTGTATAGAAACCCATTCAGCCCTAAACTTAAACCATCTACTGAGACCCGAATGGTGCGTCGCTGGACTTTGAAGTAACCAGGGGGAAAAAGTATAGACTTTAATTTCATAATGGCTCCTTTAAGGAACAGTTACCAGAAAAAAGTGTTCAAGTATGGTACTCCAAATCCAGGGTCGTGGCCCCGGGATAACCTGCAGTCGCCCTAGGATCATCTTACAAAAAAGCCTCAAGGGGATGGCTCGAACCGACTCCTTTCAGAGCCTGACTAAGAAACCTGGGGGCTTTATTCGGATTCCTTTAAAGGGGTCTATAAGGGTTACTATAAGGGATCTACAAGGGTACTATAATCATGTAATCCCTTTTTGGGTCCCTAACATAATACGGCACCTCTTTGTTAGGGCACCCAAAAAGGGACCCCTGTTTTGACAACTACCCTTTCAGAGCCTGATGTAGGAACCTGAGTAAGGAACCCTGGGCCTTTATTAATTAGGGTTCCTTGCATGAATCCTACAATTTTGGGGTTATATGCCCAGGGTTTCTTGATCAGGTTCCTACATTAATCGAACTGTTCTTCTGGAACTCCCTTCAATCAAGAAGCAGAACACCCAAAACATTGAACACGAAGAAATATCAAGCAGCCCTTCTCCCAGAATCCTCGACAACCTCCCAGTGCCTGACTCATAAATCCAGGAACCTAGCTCGAAAAATCATCCTGAATCTACCCGCAAAGGTAGAATAATGACCCAACCCCCAGGTAAGGCGATAATTCCACATGCTTCCGGGGTCTAGAGTCTAGGCAGACGCTAGACTCTACCTTAACCCCTAATAACCTACCTTTTCAAGGACTTGTACACAGAATTCATATTAGGCAAGCACAAAAAAAGGTAGGTTATTCGGGGCCCAGGTAATGGACCCTGAAACCTGAGCACAACCCTGAAGCTCTAGGACCCCACACCCCAAATCCTGACCTTAATGCCTGTGAAACCATCAAAAAGCATATATTCAGCCGCAGTTAGAACAACCACCAATAACAAACCCAAAAACTTGATATTATCCCTGAACCCTAACCCCTAAACCCGTTCCATTCGAAACGCGCCTCCTTGGATGCGCTTTGGGCCCCTGCGCTGCATTCTGCAGGACCCAAGAGGCCATGGCAACGTTCAACGGCTTAGGTTTAGGTTTAGGGTTTACGTGCTCAAAGGGTTCAGGGTTTGGTTACAGCCGAAGCCTAAAAGTTGGAAACCCAATAGCCTCAATTCTTAAGAGCCAAGAACAAGGAATCCCAGCACTATTTGGCCTTAATCCGGTTTCCGACTTTATGGGGTTTACTGTAATTAGGATCAGGGTATATGGCCTTTCCGCAGGCCTGCAGGCCGAAAAGGTACCCTAAACAGTTGATCAAGGGACTTATAGTGAACCCCAGAAAGTTGGAACATGGATTTAGGATGATTTGTGCTAGGATTCCCTCTGCTTTACCCTAAGGGCATGGGGATAATGGTGTTCCAACTTTCTGGCTTCTACTATAAGGGTTTAAGGGGGCCTGGGGCTGAGAAATTTAGGCTTCGGGGTTTAGGGTTTAGGGTTTGAGTTTAGATCTCTTGCAAGGAGGTAGGGCTGAGGGGTACCCGCATACAGTCTAAACGACCCCGGAGCTATGTGGGCGGTTGTCAAAATTAGGGTCCCTTTTTTGGTCCCTAATATAATACGGCACCTACTATTTGGGGCGCCCTTTTTGGGGGACCCTAGTTTTCTAGGTGGGGCTTTTAGAGCCTTTGAAAAATATTAGTAAATAAGATCCTCTTAAGCCCAAGAAGGGAAAATATAAAATGTCCCAAGGCCCTACCTAGTTTTTGACAACCACCCATGTGAAGTTGAGGCCTTGTTCAATGGATGTTCTGCCCTGTGGGATGAAGGGCATACAGCTAAGGAATTAGGGCTCAGGACATTCTACAAAATAATGTGCGGTAGTGCAGTGTAGCGTGGTATAGTACCGTATAAATGGTTTTGAAGATGTAGGCTAGGATGTACCTTAACCAACCAAAACCCACTTTCTTGTAGGAAACTCCATAAAAAACAGCAGGTTATCGTAGCTTCAGGGTTCAAGCCTGAATTCGATCTGCCAGAGCGGCTGCCCGAGTTATGGCATGCGCTTGAGATAGGAGTTTTGGGGTGGCTTCGAGCCTGGGGAAAATGGATGCCCAATCAGAAGATTGCGGGGCCCCGTTGTGCAGATCGTCCAAAAGTTTTGGGCAATGATAATGCTAGAATGGCCTCAATAAATATCCGAATTGGGTTTGAGGTATATCGTATATGACAATAACAAAGAACTCTAGGTAGTAGCAATACTAACTTCAACTATTGAGGCCCTCATCGTACCAACGGTGCCCGATGAGTGAGGATTGTTGTAAGGTTCACGGTGGTGGTGATGGCGGTGGTATATGTCATGTGCTAACAGTTTGATTTTAAAATCCCTGGCCAAAAACAGTTAGCCACACAAGTCGTCGGAGTCACCAGTTGATGCTACTGATGGCTGATTACTGCGCATAGTCACATAGTCATAGCTGGCAGTAGCCCTGAACCCTACACCCTGAAAAGGCCACAGCGAACCCTGAACCTCAAATCAGCGAAACCCCAAAACCTCGAAGCCCTGAACCCCGAACTTTGAAGGACAGCTTTCGGAGTCTGGAGGGCCGTAGTTCATTGTCGGGATAGGGTGAAAGTTCTACATGTCTACTCCTTATTGGGTTTAAGCACCCATAAATATCTAAAATGTTACCCAACTATGACTGGGTTTAAGCCCCATAAAAATCTAAAATGTTACCCAACTACGACAGAGGGCTGAGGGTACAGAGTCTAGGCTTGCGAGAGCGGGGCTCCGGTCCCTACTGTAGACAAAAAATTGCTGCGTTGTCATCGAAGTACATCAGTCAAGTAAACCCCAAACCCAAAATCTTAACCTTATATATACACAAATATATGTGTAAATATATGTATATATGTATACTTGTGCTCGAAGTACATCCAACTGCGGTTCTACAGTCTCTCAAAAACCTTAAGCCCTGACCTTCCGGGTGCAGGGTGGAGGGGCGCATGTTCCGGAGAGCTCGTGGGTTTGCAGCCTTGAATGTGCCATGGTTTCTAGATTCGGTGTGGAATTTTGGCTATACCACTCAAGTAGTACTTGTAATACTCTCTTGGGCTTGAGATGAGCAAAATTGAAGAAAACTCCTAAGGAGACTATAGTAGGGCCTATGAGTGATTAGGGTTTAGGGTTCACGGTTTATGGTTTCGGGTCTCGGGTCTCGGGCTTCGGAGCGACGGGATCTTCCAGCTTTTTGCAAACCGCGTGGCTGCGCAGGAATTGAGGAGACCTCTCGTCCGGACCCTGTTTCAGTCCCGACGCAGGATGCCTCGAATCTTCAATCTGGGAATGATCTCACCGCTGGAGACCTGGACTTTAAACCACTTTGCAGGCTGAGGGGGCTGGGAAAACTTCCGGACATGCGGATTCTGCGCAGCTTGAAGTTCCGACGAGCCCACAGTCAGGGACTTGTGCCACTGAAGGCCATCCTGTGAACAGTAGACATGAACCACGGCCCCGGCCGCAAAGCCGCAGCACGGATCCTCAATGCCAAGGACATAGACGGAGTAGTGGGGCAGCATCCAGGTCATGTATCCTTAGTTGGTGAGCTCATAAGCCCCGAGCGCAACACTTTCAGTTCTTTAGGGGATAATCCTCAAGCCCCAAACCTCCAAATGTGAAAAGTATACTCCTTCAGCTATTAAGTGCCGTAACCCCAACTACATCAAGATAAAGATCCCTAAAAAGGTAGGTTTTATGAGCCCCAAGTATCCCTTTCGAAGGCTTGCGAAGCCGCAGTTCCTCGCAATGTCGGCCAACATGTCCAAACCCTTCAGCTCTTTGCTCCACCGGCCACCTTTCCTGGGCGTTGTGGGTTCCTTTAAGGGTTGCAAAAAGGCTCCAATACGGGGCTGCTTTGAAGGGATCCTGAGGTAACCAAGAGAAACAAGCATCAACAAGGGCTCCTCTCAGGAAATGAGCAGCTACCAAGAAACATTAAAGTATGGTTCTCCAGAACACAAAGTTCATAATGGCTCCTCTGAAGGAGCAGGTACCCCAAAGAAGTATCAAAGTTCATAACTAATGGTCATTTTAAGGAGCAGGTACCAAAAAAATAGTACAGCATGGTACTCCAGAACCAATGCTAAGTCCTAAATAATAAACCCCTAACTCATAAACCGGTATAGTAAAGCCTAAACACCTAAACCACAAACGCTTAAAACTCTAAACCCCAAACCCTTAAGCCCCTAAACCCCTAAACCCCAAACCCCTAAACCCCTAAGCCCCAAACCCCTATGGTACTCTTCCTATAGATCACTTCAAGGACCTCAAAAAGGAACCCCGCTACTTCAGTACTACCTTACTGGGCTTCATTATAAGGGGTTTTATATGGGATATCCCTATCCTAATTTTTGCTTATGTGCTTTTTTGGGCCCTAAACCCCAAACCTTAAACCCCCTATGGTACTCTTTAAAGGTACCCCTATAGATCACTTAAAGGACCCCTAAACGGAACCCCGACACTTCAGTACTTCGGTTGATGATATAAATCCTGTATTACCCTAAGGACCCTAGACTTTGGGAATTATTTACTATATTCCTCATTGTGGGTAATGCAGGAATTGTATCATCCACCGTTCAGACCCAGTGGCACAGCCGCGGGATCCGAAGGGATCACATTCACCCAGTATCCCAAGAAGGGGCTCTCCTTCACCTGATCTTTCCATTAAAAAAAAAGGTAGGTTCTATTTTCTTTTTTGTGGGCCCTTTTTTCCGGTAGGTTCTGTCTAGGGTTTAGGGTTTAATTAGGGTTTTAGGGCTCATGGTTTGGGGTTTAGGGTTTAGGACTTTAGGGTTTAGGGTTTTAGGGTTTAGGGTTTCAGGGTTTGGGGTTTAGGACTTTAGGGGTTTAGGGTTCAGGGTTGAGGATGCTCTTTTTGTTCATAATGGCTCTTTTACGGAACAGGTCCCACAAAAATGACCGATGTATCCCCAGAAAACCTACACACTGCACCCTCAACCCCAAAAAGAACGACGCATGGTGGCCCTCCAGAGCCCAGGTGCGGTGCCGTCGTACATCTCGCCCAATGCCCGCAGAACGCACGCCGCGTACTGGGCGGGCCTCTTCGTGAGCTTAAACCCTAAAACCCCATAAACCCACAAAACCAACAAAACCCCAAAACTCTAAACCCCGAAAACCCCATAAACCCACAAAACCAACAAAACCCCAAAACTCTAAACCCCGAAAAACCCATAAACCCACAAAACCAATACAACCCTAAACCCTGAACCCACCGAAAAACTCATAAACCCAGTAAACCAACAAAACCCTAAAAACCCTGAACCCCCAGAAAAACTCATAAACCCAGTAAACCAACAAAACCCTAAAAACCCTGAACCCCCCGAAAAACTCATACACCCAGTAAACCAACAAAACCCTAAAAACCCTAAACCCCGAAAACCCCATAAACCCACTAAACCAAAAAAACGCCGAACCCGAAACCACCAAAAAACTCTAAACTTGGGGGCCGCCTCTTCTTCACGGCCTCTGCCAGGGCGCTGTCGAGAATGGGCTCCAAACCTTCAGAGAGGCGTCAGGGCGTTCTACGGGTTTAGGATTCAGGGGTTTAGGGTTATAGGGGTTCAGGGTTTAGGGGTTTAGGGTTTAGGGGCTTGGGTTTTAGGGTTTAGGGGTTTAGGGGTTTAGGGGTTTAGGGGTTTAGGGTTTAGGGTTATAGGGTTATAGGGGTTTAGGGTTATAGGGTTATAGGGTTTAGGGTGGTACGAACCCCGAGAAGGATCCGAAATCTCACGCAACGTCCACTTCCCTTGAACTTTGCTCCACGAAACTCCATCGGTGCAGCTGAATACCGTATGGAATCCCAGAATCGACGATAAACGAATCTGGAGCCTAAAATGGGTGCCTAACTACTTACCACGACTATCCTTTTTGAGGCTCCTTGTCATGAGTATAGTATAACAGACTATCCAGAACCCTCTTCTATTGATTAAGGCCCTCTACATTATGCGACTGAGCGCGAGGCTTATGAAGAACACTATATGCCAAGCCTTCGACTGGACCCCTGCACCGGGAAAAACAAGTTTAAGAAGCTAACTTTTATGCAGAAGCCCCGGAGGAATACCCCAAAACTCACCCGTTGAGACAAAACGCGTACAAAATGTACAACACCTCAATGTAAGCACTGAACCCTAATCCTGCGACGACCCCCCCAGCCCCCCACATCCGCCCTTCCACAACTAAATCCTAAACCCGAAACCCGAAAACCCCAAATGAAAACTGCACACACCCTTAGGATCTTAGTAACCTAGCCCAACATAAGGCTATTATGGTAGGATTATATAAACCCCATAAGGGTAAAGGTTACCTACTCAGCTACAAAGAGAATAGACCCCAGCATAGTACCCTCTAGCACCCTTAACGGGGACCCTGTTATAGAACCCTAAACCCCAAACCCTAAACCCCACACCGTAGGATAGTACCCTTAAGCGGGACCCTACTATAGAACCCTATACTTCCCTTAAAGGACCCTACTATAGGACCCTATACTTCCCTTAAAGGACCCTACTATAGAACCCTATACTTCCCTTAAAGGAAGACCCTACTATAGAACCCTATACTTCCCTTAAAGGAAGACCCTACTATAGAACCCTATACTTCCCTTAAAGGACCCTACTGTAGAACCCCATACTTCCCTTAAAGGACCCCTAAGCACCGGGGGGCTGTCGTCGGCTTTCCGCTTCCAGGACCGGACGAGCGAAGGAAGCTCTTGGGCATCGATGCAGAGGAAGGGGGAGCTGAGGATCTCCTGAGGTGCTACAAAATGATGTATATGAGTAGGGTTTAGGGTTTAGGGAGCTGCGGATCTCCTGAGGTGCTTAAAAGAAAAAATAATGAAATAAGGTGCTTAAAAACAACATATAGTAGAATAAGGATCTCCTGAGGTGCTACAAAATGATATATAATGCAAAATATATGAGTAGGGTTTAGGGTTTAGGGAGCTGAGGATCCTCAGGTGCCTACCCAAAGGCCCCAAAGTAGTTCCTTTTTGGGGTTCATATATAGAATCCTATAATGTAATCCCAAGAAGGATCTCCGGCGGTGCTTAAAAATGACATATTCATGTAATAGTACTGAATCAGGGTAGTAATAGGAGTAACAATATTAATAGCAGCGACAATTAATACTAGTAATAATAGTAATGAATGATAGCATCAATACTGATATGTAGATTGATAAGTAGGATATACTAGTATTAGATCAGGGCTGAAAGCCCAGGATCTCGTCAGGTGCGAAAATGTCTAAGTTACAAGGTAGGATATACTACGTAGTACGAAGCCTTTAGGGTGTAAGACGAAGGATCTCCTGGGGTGCTTTGTCTATCGGTTCTGCAATGGCTGCTTTTGTTGGTAAGCTCCTTTTTCTTTTGTTGAAGCTCCTGTTTCCTTTGCTATACTAGGTTTACGGTATGGAGCTTTGGGTTTATGGTTTAGGGTTTAGGGTGTAGGATGCCAGGCTCGTGCTTTAGGTCGTATAAGCCCCTCTGAACCCACAATACATGGAATAGTTTTTAGGGTTTAGGGTTTAGGGAATATGCTTCATAACCTTCAGGAAAGGAAACAGCTCCTGAGGAACACAAGTGTTAGATGGTTAGTGAAGCTTGTTGATAGTTAAACAAACATGTCTTTGCCGGCGGGGTCTGTATAGAAGCTCGCTGTTGCTCGATCTTGTATCTTTATCTGTGCAGGGTTTGTGCGGGCTGTTGTGTGTTGAACCGACGGTTCAGGATTTTAAGGTTTGGGTTTCATAAAGCTTGTGTGGTTCTATTTCTTGCTTTCTTAACAGTCATGAAGGCCTCCTACAATACCCCGCACTTGGGCTTTAGGGGTTCAGGGTTTAGTTAGGGTCCCCTAAACTCTAAACTCTTAACTGGGAATTCTCAGACTAGGGTCCTGGTACACGGTCTTCAGTCTAGGCCCCCCCAAAGCCACGGCGTTTGAGCTTACAGTAAAAGCCAGAAAGTTGGAATATGATTATCCTAAACCCTTTGTGGTAAATTATAGGGTATCCTACCCTGAAACCATATTCCAACTTTCTGGAGTTCCCTGTAGGGTCCCCTTCTCGTGTGAACTCAAGACGGCGAAACCCTAAACCCAAAGCCACCACGACGAAACCCTTATATACCTCTCATCCCCCCACTCAAACAAAGCACAAACATAAGCGGAACAGCCCCAAACCACCCTAAATATCCTAAACCCTAAACCCCAACCACTCTCTCTCTCTCTCGCACGTGAAAAGGTCCGAAGTCCTGAACGCTACATGCAGACCCCAAAAATGGCACAACTGTAGTGCCACAGGGAAGGAAACCTACAAATCTAAACAACGAAGACAGCGAGGGAGCGAGCGAACAAGCTACAACCTCGCAGAGGAAGACGAGCGGTAGATAGCGGACTGCCGCACAGCGAGATCAACATGACAGCCTCCTAAGGAGGAAAGTCTGGTTCTCAACTGTTGAGACAGCTCCGCCACTATACAAGGCGCAGCAGCGCAAGAGAAGCAACCCGCAGGCGTCGCAATAGACCACATCTTGGCATCCGGGAGCAGGGCTCGCCAAAGAGTCCATGCTATCGAGGGGAGCGCACTCGGAAAAACCAGACCTGCCCCAGCCTTGACATGCTGGAGAATGAGTCGGAAGGAGACCGTGGCTTCCAAGAGCTGAATAAGAGCACTCGGTGGCGTACGTATATCCTCCGGCACATGTTGATCTAGTGCAGCCCGTAGATAGTGAAAGCCGCCCTTGCTCTCAAAGTCCCAAGGAGCACCAGCATGTACGGTGGACCACAACTTCCAGTACCTACTCCAGTCGGCAGGCAGGTACCAGACAACACGCTGCCGGAGAAGACCAGGCCAAAAAGGAGAGGGCATGGTAGGAGCAGCGTTCTGACACGAGGCACATCCCCTCGAATCACCTGGATCATGGCCAATCGAGATCCAGCGAGGGGCCGCAAAACCAGAAGGACTAGGTGTAGGACTTCCGGCCGCAAGAGCCTCATCATCCGGTGTTGGTAACGCAGGAGGTGCTCTGGGTCCCTCCGGCAAAGCAATCGCGGCTGTAGGCCAATCAAAGAGATCGGGGGTGCCAAGAGCCTGTAGCCTTTCCTGGGCTAAGTCAGCTTCAGAGCACAGACGGCCATTCTCTGCAGCACGACGTTGGGCAGGGGTGGCATTGACCGGTCCTGGCAGTCGATACGCTGGCAGTCCCCTGTGACCACCTGGTCCGCGCCGTTTCGACCCAGTGCCATACACATAAGCTGGCCCGACTAGGACCCGCAAGCCATGGAGGCAACCAGGATGTGTTTTGAGATGGTACTTGAGTCTGTCGGTAGAAAACTGCTCACAATGGCACCAAAGGCAAACAGTCCCGTTCGTATAACGAGTAAGACAGTTGACAACCGAGTGTTTGCGATGGATGTGAGCTGCCAAAGCCTGCACACTGGGCAAAACCGCCCTGCATAATCCACAGGTCTGTGGGACCCGTGCCCCCAAGACCTGGACCTCCCGAGGGCGGACAACGTCCTCCCACAAGTCGACCAGGGCTTTATAAGCTGACCCGTATCGGCTCAGATGTTGGCAAGCCTTGTGGAGCTCAGCAGTGTGCTGCTGAAGCGCCGACCGTGTAATAGCCTGAGGCCGGATGGCAGGGGGCAACTGTCGCGAAACTTGGTAACAAGCTGAGAGCAACAGTTCACACCACGGAATATTACGATCCCAAGCGGCCTCAAACAAGTCCCTCAATCGCCTGGGAGCGCGGTTGAGGAGCTGGAGGACCAGCCTGGTCCTAGCGATGGCACATGCATCCTCAGGGACAGGGAGGCCCAGCAAAAGGACAAGAAGGGGCTTCGAGAGAACATGGCCAAAGCGCCAAGATCCCACAATCTGGCGCGCCGCACGTTCAAAGAATCCTCCCAGCGGTGCCCAAGCACGATCCGAAACGGCAACTGAGGTCCCGATGGTTGCATAGGCCGCTGGGAGCACCCTGCCGGCCATCCAGGCCTGTTTCAGACGCCACGGTAGTGAGGGACAGGCGAAGAGACTTTTCGCTTGTGCCCAGGCAGAGTGCCCACGTTGCATGGAAAGCTCCATATCCCTCCTGCCGTTATCTTTTGGCATCTGGATCACTCCTAGGTACCTGTATTCTGGCGCCAACCGGATGCTGTGACCGGTCCGCAGCTTAAGAACAGAAGGGGGCGTCAGCAACTCACCACGCACGGCTTTGGCCTCAGGACCACGAATGTCAAGGACAATCTCAGTCTTGCCCGACCCCAGATTAATCCGAAACCCGAGCAGTTCTAACGTAGAGATGACAATCTCTGCCAAACGAGGTAGCTGGCACTGTAGCTGGCTGGGCGAATCAAAGTCGGCTAAAATGGCAAGGTCATCGGCCCACCCGAGAGGAAGCACCGCATCAGTGGATCCGATATAGCTACCTGCGGCGTGTATGCAAATGCCCTCTGCGGTACACACCTTGCGTATATGTCTCAGCGCCACAGCGAAAAGGGCTCCGAAAAGGATATCAGCTAGTCCATCCCCGGGTCGCGATCCGCGTGTAGCAATGTAACAAGTACTGGACCCGGCAAGGCTCCAGCGAGAGAAGGCCACACAGTCATAAAGCAAAGCACGGTCTGAGTCCTGAATGCCAAGGAGCTCCAAGGCACCACGCGAGCGCAAGCTATCGACTAAAGCAGCGAGATGAAAGCTCGGCGAATCTATAGGCACGTCGGCCCCCCCCAAGGCAGGATCACCATGAAAGATAAGCTCCCTATTGACTTCATAGTAAGCTGCCTGAATATCAACAAACATCGATGCTGTGCTACGATGTTGTTGCACACTGAGGCCAAGTGCTGACCTATAAGCTGCTATAGCGAAGCTCACTGGAATGCCTGGGCATCCTCCCAGTTGAGCCTCGTCATACCCTCGCAGCACCTCTTGGCCGAGAGTCTTGCGAAGGTGGCCATGCCAAAGCTTGGCCACACCATTAAGAAGCGCGATGGCTCTATAGTTGGCCGGAAGCGCAGCCGGGCCTTTTTTATACAGAGCACAGTAAATCGCATCTTTAAAACCAAACGGCTCTCGGCCCGTTAGTGAAATCTTAGCGGTGACGCCCCAAACCCAGAGTCCAGCATGCACCGGATGACAGCTCCAGATTTCATTGAGGACACCGTCCGGACCAGGGGCCTTGCGTTTGGTTTGGCGTCGGCAAATTGCCTCGGCTTGCAATAGGGAGGGCATGGCCTGAGGGCAGGGCTGGCCATCAGTAGCCAGCCATTGCAGGGTCAGCTGCCGAGCTTGGGCCGGCTCAACTTTCCGTCCGCCTTCTTGGCACCGGAACTGCTCGGCAAGGTCGGCTTCAATGTCATAACCGCCCGCAGCGTAAACTGCTCGGCGCTCAGCCGATTTGCGAGACGCCCATTTTAGTTTTGTGATGGCCTCAAGAGGGCGCCCTACACTATGCCAATGCTGTGTGGCTGCTTGAGTCAGGGCAAGAAAGTGAGCATTCTTATCCTGGCGAGCACGACGATGGGCCTGATCCTGTAAATGCCATTCCTGGTGCTGCAAGGCTGCAAGATAACCGCGAACCACCCTTAGGCATTCTTGCCTGTTCGTGGTGGCAGGTCGCAACCGACGGCTCCATTTGGCAAGAAAGACAGCACGGACATTGTTGCGCTCGAGTCGGCGAAAGTGACGGATGTGGCTACGACAGTCCCTTAATTGCTGTAGCCAGCGCACAGTGCTAGACTGTATGTAGGGCTGCTGGACCCTGACACGCGGAGGGTGGCGAGAAAGTCGAGCGAACTGTGAAACCCGACACTGCAGAGCATAGACATCTTGCCCACTGCACTGGCCAGAGGTATGGGACGCCGGTATCTGCTTCCATAACTGCTGCCCATTGGCAACCACATCAGCAGCTTGACACCGGTACCCCTTCTTCTGGGCTGGACGTGCACCTGGGCGCTGGAGCACAGACCGAACTCGCAGCGCCACATGGTCTCGGGCTGAGTTGACTATGTCAAAGTCCCAGGCTTGGCTGGCCTGCACGTGGGACCACCAGCCGGCACTAAAGAGGAGATGATCTAGGCGCTTCCTAGTACCACCCGTATGCTCCCACGACCAACCTGGTCCAATCTGGAACTCTGGAAAAGTCGCCGGGGCTTCAAGTCCAGTAGCCGCAGTAAACTCGAATAGGAACTCATCATTGGATGTGGCGGGGTGAGCAGCAACGAGTGCTCCAATGGAGGAAGCGCCGTCATCTTGTGCACAGAAGTCCCCATTGGCATCAATCCCAACTACGACGGCTCTTGAGCTAGGTGCGCGCTGGATAGCTTGGCGTAGCTCATGCCAGAATTGTTGCGCTTCCGCTACAGGGCGGTCAGCATGTGGCGCATGTGCAGAGCATATGGTGAGTGGGAGGCGCGGGTCAACACAAGTTACCACCAGAAGTCGTGGACTAGAAACTAGAATACGACAGGAGGCTAACTGCAGGGGGGGCTGAAGCTGATCTGGTCTCAGCCAGATTTCACATCCATACTGTCCACGGCAGTGGCCAGATCGCCAAGAGAGCCACCCGCCAGTGTTCCAGCGTCCCGCCGGAGCGCGGGTCTCTTGGAGGCATACTACATCCGCCTTCATCTGCTGGAGCTGTGTGTATAAGAATTGGCGACGACTGCCGTGACCCGACGGATTGAAGACATTGCAGGCAGGGTCTTTGATGGTCTGAATATTGGCAGTGACAAAATGTAGTTCCTCGGTAGGACCTAGCTGCTGGGGTGTGATTGCACTCGAGGGCCTTGGAGTGGCTTCCGCTGGGGGGGCCCACCCCGCTGTTCCAACCTTGAGACGGAACACAGGCCTATGGTCCCGCAATCGCGCCCTCGGGACCAACCAAAGCCATTCAAGCCGAGCAAGGTCGATCTCCTGCGAGGATCGGAAATGAGCATGACGAACCCAAGCATCACACGTGCCGCAAGCAGCTGCAGTAGCAAGTGCATCTGCCAAAGTGTTGACAAGATGCCCTACGTGACTGGGAACATGTCGGAAGTGGGTGGACACCCTGCCCTGCACCGCTTGCCAAACCGCCCTGGTAAACTTTGCAGGCATACAGTTTGCTGCTGCGTGCCCAGCAGCAACTTGTAAGGCAGACGAGTTATCGACGGCCAGGGTGACCGACGGGGAAGGCGCGCGCGTATGCAAAGTCCAGAAGTCAAGCATCGCAGTACACCAATGTGCTGCGCTTTGAAGAGCGGCCAATTCACCGTGGAACGATAGCTGACGAGGCGAGGAGGCCCTGGCCTCACTCGCCAGCCACGGCGTTGCCTCCAGGGTGGCGGCAGCCCAGCCTAACCTTCGCCAGGACCCCTTAAAATAACCCCAAACGATGAAAGCCCAGGAACCTTGATGGGCCCCACTGCCGTCTGTCGCAATGAACAGTTGTTCGGGTGGGCCGCCCTGCCAGGCGGTGTAGCTATTCCACGCGTGATGGTAGGCCGCGGGCAGGCTTGCCGGCAACTCATCACCCAGACCTTGGCTCCACCAGCCTTGGTGAAGTGAAGCCTGCAACTCACAGACTTCGGCGAGGTCAAACTCCCATGCTGAAGCATCTATCTTGGTCCACCCAAGTGGCGCACCCCAGGCAGCGAAGTAACATGCCAGCACCGTTAGCAAACCAGACGTAATGCGACCTGCGTGGTCAAAGTGTCGCAGGAGGACACTGAGGCAGACATAGGCTAACCAATGCCCTGTGTGGTGAACGGGGCTGCAGGCGGAATTACTGACATCAGCAATCCCTGGTTGTGCGTCAAAAGCCGAAATGTGGAACATCTCGTCCCGGTACTGACCGGCACGAGTCAAGAGCAGGACATCCTCACCCCACCTCACCTTGGGACAAGGGCGCCATGAGGAGAGCTCTTCACGCATGGCGGGCAACAAGACCCCTCGGCCGGCGTCCCACCTTTGTAGGCTAATAAAGCGCAGTGAACGTGTGCGTCCGGACGGGTCAAGCAGAAGTATGGTACCAGGCCCAGAGACGCTAATATCAGCACACCAGAAGCCTTGTTCCTTAGCGGCAGCTAGTGACGGGAAGTGGGAGCGGAAGCGGGGTTGAGAGGCAGGGAGCCATCTGTCCCGTACGGCAACCACGCACATCCCTGATTGAAGGGTGAGTTGCGGGCAACCCCGATCAATAGTCCCCTGTGAGGTAAGCACCTTGGGCACAGATCCAAACCACTCTTGTAGATAGTCAAGAAGGGCTGCCCCCGTAAGGATAGTTGGCAGGATTAACGCCCGGGGGTGCGGCGCCCCAAGGGCTAAGACCACCTGAAATGCCGGGTGAGGGAAGATTGGCAACCAGTGACATGCAGAGTCATCCGGTGTTGGGCTGGCAGTCACACATTTCTTCCAGCCTTGTTCGAACCTTAGAACAGCCTGGTTCGCATCTTCCTGGCTGCCACAGTATGGGCCGAGGCGACCTTGGAACGGGCTCCAGAAATGATGCTCACGGTGGGGGGGCATGCTCACCCGAAGCGTGAGCCCCCCAGGAAGCCCACTTGCAAGAGCGACTGCGATCCATGCTGCTCCCCTTCCGTGACGCGAAACAAAACCACCGCCCAGCAGAATGGCCCAGAAGGGAGCGGAGGACTGAGCAGCTGCTGTTACAGGCGGGAAATGGATGATATCGCCGTCCCTCAAGGGGGGCAATTGTTTGTCTTCGGGCAGGCCCAACAGCCGACAGGGGTAATCCATACGGTCCGCCAAGATGCTACACGTACGCGCATTGGCCATTGCATGGACCGTATGGCACGTACCGGACAAGGCGGAGCCTACCTGCGTCTCAAGGATAATATTTCTGAGACCATCTTGAGATGCACATTGACACAGGTGTGGCTTGTCATCATAAGCCCATGGCACTGGCACCCAGTAACCGGGATATCTACTCTGGAAGGGCCCTCGGAAAGCCCGATCACATGCACTCCATTCGACTGGCTGAGCGATCTTGGAGACGACCGGACGCTTACCCGGCCGCCACAGTACCACCTCAATAGGGACTTCAACCTCGAAGTCCATTGCCCATACCGCTGCGTGTCGGACTTCGCAAGCCCGGCGGAAGATAGGAATTTCGTACCCTCCAAACTCACTGGCGGTGGGGTAGGCAATTATAAGATCACCATCACGCCAGTCCACAGCCTCACTTTGGCTATCCCCGTATCCGTGGGAACTAAGGGGGGGCCTAACCGACACTATGGGTCCTGGCATCATCTGTCGCAGAAACGCAAGCAGCCACTCTCGATCGGCACGGTGAGGGATCAAGACGGGGAGCTGCCAGCCAACCGAAGCAATACAGACACACACAAGGGCATCCGTAGGTGCAACTGGGACAAAGGTGAGACGAGCATGGGATGGCGAGGGCCAAATGGGTACAATAGCGCCTGACCAGGCTGGTTCGGATCCTGCCAGGGCTAAGCGAAGCTCATCCTCAGTTGTGTCAGGGGTCGCCGGTGTAGTCAGATCATCATGTACCCCAAAAGGAGAGAGCAGGCAACACAACTGCGGGTCGAGTACAGCCTCATGCATAGCTCTATCCTCGGGCCGCAGCCGCCATTGATATTTACCTACCGGCACCGGGTCAGCATCTAAGATTTCTGGCATAGCGTACATCCCTAAAGCGGAGTTGCACAGGCACAGCACCCCAGCCCATCGGGAGTGCCACCAAAAGGAAACTAGGCACATCAAAGTGGAAGTAGTGAGCCGGGTCCCTGCATTGGTCACTGCGGCTGGAATCAGTACATCACCATCCCTGAGTTCCGGATGGTTAGAACGGGCCTGCAGGTCGGCTCTAAGCTGCCAGCCACTGGGAATCGCGCCCAGACGCCGAACATCTTCCACCAGCAAGCACTCAACCGGTTCATCTTGATACGGCCGTAATTGAAGCACATGCGCACTGTCCACCGGGGACTGCAGCACAAAATGACAATGATCCCCTTGCCAGTAAGACGAGGGGACCCATCGAGCCGGACCAGGAGTCATGCGAGGCCGAAGGAATTGAAGGCAGGTTGGAGACCAACGACTGCCATCCTCGATGTAATGCCTTTCACACTGAAAGAGCGGGTCGCCTTCAGGGCGCCACACATATACCCATCCGCCTCTCCTAACTTTAAATGCAGTGGACCAACACGAGAGATGTGGCAGCCATGCAAGAGATCGATGGACAATCATCGGTTGGGGTCGGAAGGAAGAGTGACAAGTGTTGACAGACAGCTCAAGAGGATCCCCGTCACGCAGATGGAGAGGCCGCTGCGGGCTGCAATCATACTTGATGAGGGCTGGCGGGAGCTGCATACGGGATCCCGGCGCCAGACCGAATTGACAACTCAATCTTTCCAGATCCTGCATATTGGCAAAGCGGGGCGCAAAGATTGCTCGAATCCTATCTTGAGTAGCCACAGTAATGACCGCTATATCCTTCATACCTGCTGGAATCAAAAGAGAGCGGGTGTCAGCAATGTTAGGCGCGACTGGCACATAACTAGTGGCCCACGGCCCACACCTCCTCCGAACCGCAAGCAGCAGGTCACTTCCAGGCGAGTCCCGGAGATAGTAAGCAGGCCCTCCTATACCGCTGATGGGACACAAGACATTGTAGTGTCCATGACCGCGACGGATTACCTCTGACATGGGTTGCGGGTGTTCAGGTCGCCAAGCGCCGAGCTTAGGACTAGGGCTGCGCCTGTCTGAGGCTGGGGAGGTGCTGCGTGTACGGCTCCTGGCTGCGACTGCTACACTATTCGTGGCGCCGCTGGCACATAGCAACAGCAAGGGTCGAAGGCGGACAAGCGTTAAGCCAAGCCAACAAAAGGCTGAGACAGGCAATCGCTGTTGCGCACCCGAGAAGTCCCAAACAGTGTGTGTGTCGTCATTTAAGTAGGAGTCATAAACAACATCCCCGTCCCGAAGGCGGAGGGGAGCAGTGGCATCTTCCGCGAAAGTCCCCAAAACATGAACTGACCCGGCCAGGGAATGGAGTTCCCGCGCGAGCTCTGCCCTTGAGGTCCCCGCCGAGAACTGCAAGGGGAATGTTCCTTCCTGGCTTTCGTGTAACACATGGGCCCGACCACGCCTTTCCGAGGCAGCAATGAGATGGACATGCCGACCAGCATGCCATTGTATCGGTACCCATCGACCCGGTCTGCGAGCACTAAACTCCCCTGAGAAGGAACCAAGAGCAGGGTCCCACAATGATCCCCCATCAATGAGGGTATACAACGGTCCTCTTCGTCCTGGCTCCCACAGGGCAACATGGGCGGCGTCTTCCAATTGAAAAGGACGCGTCCAGCGGATTCCGTCACTGACAAATGCATCAGAAGATATAGACGGAACACCAGAGGTCGCAGAACCGGCGTGTATTTCAAGGACATCACCTACACGCAGGACCAGGTCGTCGCTCAGACCCACCTCGGCCCTCCCCTGCATGCTCACTGGGAGTGTAATGGCCGTAACATGCCAACCTGAGAGGTAGCTGACAGTACGGAGTAAACAGCTGTAGGAACAGCGACTTGGAACTAGAAAGGTACGCCAGACATCGTCTAATCTCCCCACTACGCAGACACAACTACCTTCAAAGCCTACAACAGGCACAAAGGAGAGATGATCTCTTTGTAGAGCGGGCCACACTGGCATCAAATCAACCAGCCAACGGCCCCGATCCTGCTGGTAGTGCTGAAGAACCTCAGTGTAAAGAGTGGCGGCGGGGAGAGTAAGGGAACCTTGCTGGCCTGTCATTGGACAACAAAGGGCACATCTACAGCAACCCTCCTCAACAACCTCTCCGACCAGACGGTCTGACCTAGGGGTACGCCATGGGAAGGCACCTACATGCACCACTGTCCGCCCTCGATGGGGACGTAGAGCGACGGCCTGCATAGCTGCACCTAATGCTGGCATGATAACCAGTGCAAGAAGGGGTCTGCGCCCGAGGACCGCCGCAAGCATGAATCCAGCACTACTGACGGGTTCCATTTGAACCGTAACAGGCACAGGGGGTGGAGGACCAAATGGACCTGTGTCGACACACAAGCAGTCACCATCCCTGACATGAAGAGATCGGTCGCTACGACGGCGCTCAGGGTAAGGGGCACGCAGCCTGCCAAGTCTGCTGTGGAGGGTCACATCCCAAGGTGTGCTACGAGGGAGGATACAATCCACACACATGGGATGCAGCCCATCGTCCGCCCTCAAAAGGGCCGGGTCAGCAGCTGCTGGCATAAGATGTATGGCCTGTGAGTCTGGCTGGGGCTGAACTGCTACCAGAGGTTGCCAACCCCTGCGTGCCGTATAGTCCCGGAGCATAGCTTGGAATGCTTGGGCAGAGCCGACGAGAGGCGAGAGCAAGCTGCAGCCCTGCTCAGGGGCAAAAGGGTCGTGGATCGTGATTGGGCACCCCGCAGGTAGAAAAGGATCAGGCTGAGGGTGTCGTTGAGCAACCTCTCCAAGCTGAGCACTGACCCTCAATTGAAGCTCTGGAATAAAAGCCAAGTCGAAGGGAGGAGCGACGGGGAAGACGTTCCCAACTTGCGGTGCCCCGGTGCTGGCCATTGCAGTAGAGCTGGGTCGGACAATAGAGCTGGCTCCGGTGCCGAGGCCCGTAACTTCCCCGTCTGGTGTGGGGGCGGAGACGTCAGTGAGGCCAGGAGAGCTGGGCGGTTGCGGTGTATCGGATCCGGCGCCACCACGGAGAAGAAAGAGCCCTATCAGGAGCCCAACATATCGAGCAGGGGGAGGGCCCCCAAGCATAAGTCCAAACCAGACCCCTTGTGTGGGTACGAATCTATGGGCGCCATTGGTCGGAGCGGCAGGTGCCTCTGCTGTTGGCTGTGGCTCTGCGGGGTCAGTTGGCACCGGAAGCACTCCGGCTGACTCAAGACGGGTAGACAGAACCTCAAGCTGGTGATTAACCTCATTGACCTGTCTCATAAGATGACGGCCGGCGTCTTCCGACCCTTGGTATGGTACAGGCAATTGGGAACTCCCAGCAGCTTCCAAGTTACGGTGGTTCTGTGGCCCCCTATGGTAAGTCGGGTAAACATGCAAATTGATGTTGCCATCAAGCGGTATCTCGCCTGCAGGACCACGACAGATATCATATTCAAAATGACACGCCGGGGCAGCATCCTGTGGGGGGTCCCAGGTTGAGAACCCAGTCTGGGCAGCCGGAAGATTTCGCACTAAGGTCACAATAGTGCCTTGAGGAGGGGGAGGCATCTGAGTGCCAAAAGCAATAACTCGTCCGGCATGCCACACGGAGAACTCGCCTCTCCTGCACAGTTCCTGACCGAAATGTTCTGCGGCCGCAACCCCGATTTGTTGCCACTCAAAAGCATTGGCGATGGTGCCGTACGCTGTCGCGCGTCCACCATAGTGCAGAAGCCAAAAGAGCATGGGAGGTGACGCTCGAGAGGGAATATGCAGAATGTGGGCAACACCTTGCACTACCTGGGGAGAAGTCCATATGAACTCGCCACACATGCCTACACCTCGTGCAGTATTAGCAACCCACATCGCCATTAGAGCTGGATCAGGGGTAGCATGAAACGGCATCACAGTTGGCGCTGCAAGCGTGTATGTCCATATCCGGGCAAAGGCCGGTTCGGCAGCAGGGCGAATATTCCAAGCAGATGCAGGTTGAGAGGATTGCCGAATGGCTAGGTTTTGTTGCATGGCAGTGGCCCCCCACACTTGGCCGAGAAGGAGGCCTACGCCAATCAGGCGAAGTCCGGGAAACATGGTGGAGGCAGAGACTGCCCCAATTGCAATTTCCGTCAGCACAAGCCCAGTCCCGGACAGATATCCAATGATACGCGACAAGGGACTAGCAGCGACGGCTCGGACCCCCATGGGTACCCTGGACATACCGGCTACCTCAGCTGAGTACGTCAATTGATGCGCCTGTCCAAGAGAATTGAGCGTCAACATGCAGGCATTATCGGGGGCGATCCACTCTGCAACTGGCCGAAGCAGTTCTCGCGCCAGTCCGTCACGCACAATCCACCAAATAGCACCCCCTCCAGGGC